ACATTGCTGTACGAGAAGGCAATTAAAGCGATGGCCAAACAACGGGTAACCCTCGAAGTGCTCTCATATCACGCCTCAGCTCAAGAAGAAGAAGCCCTCAAAGTCTCCGTAAGTCTATTATGCAGTCGTTTTCAGTCTGTATGCAAGTATTGATTACTTGTGACAAACTTTTCTATAAACTATACTTTCAAGTGACAAGTTTGACACAACATTTAATATATATTCATTTAATACGATTTTTATTCAAATCTCGCATTTAATGCAAATTTTATTCTCAAATTTTAATAATAATCAAATTCCGTATCCCATGAACATTGAGCCCAAGTTTTCAAGATTTTTAGTGTCAATGCTATTCAATAGACTCGTGTATAGTATAGAAGCTGTGGTTGAAATAAATTTAATTTGTTTCAGCGAATGGTTATCCCGTCGACAACTGCTCTCCACTTAACGAATCTTCGTTTCAATGACTTTAGTCTCGAGGAAGATATGATGATTAAGGCCTGCATTCGTATGTTTCTCGATCTCGACTTAATTGAAAGGTTTCAAATTGATTATAAGGTACACTATGGGGACACTATAAGCTAGCAATCAATGTCGAGAGACTCATACTTTTGCTGCCAATGTGTAGGTTCTCTGCAAATGGATACTTAGCGTCAAAAAGAACTACCGGCCCGTTCTGTACCACAATTGGAGGCATGCCTTCAATGTCGCGCAAATGATGTTCGCTATACTTGTGGTCAGTTTGACAATCAGTCAATGGTAGCCAACAATAGACTCAATATTGTGTTTTATATTCACATTCAGAACACACAATATTGCCGAGTTTTGGGTGAATTGGAAACCCTGGCGCTTATAGTAGCCTGTCTATGCCACGACCTGGATCACAGGGGCACCAATAACTCATTTCAAATTAAGTAACTGTCACTTTTAATAACTTAGCAATTAAGTGAGTGATTTAAGACTAATAATCGATTCCTTTGAAAGGTCATGCAGTCCATTGAGTTGCCTCTACTCGACCAGTACTCTAGAGCACCACCACTTCGATCAATCCCTGATGATTCTTAGCAGTCAAGTAAATATTTCCAATACGCGTTTCAAATTAATCTTTCAATACGATTCACACCTATAATCAACTCTATATTTATGGCACTGAAAGGGTAACCAAATATTAAGTCATCTCTCGCCTGACGAGTACCGAAGGGTTGTTCACGTGTTAGAGGAAGCAATACTGGCCACCGATTTGGCCGTTTATTTCCGCAAACGGGGAAACTTTTTCCGATTAGTCGAGTCTGAAGAGCACGACTGGACGGGTAATGAAGAGCACCGGTCGCTATTGCGATGTCTACTCATGACGTGCTGTGATATCGGAGCAATAACTAAGCCCTGGTATTATGCCTTTCCATTCACTTGCTATACCATTACAATCACATCGATTTTAGACTCTGGTTATGCTTTAGTCCACAAACTAATCACTAAAATAC